TAACATTAACCAACAATTATGTAACTATCCACTAATTGGTTGTCACGACCCGAACCCGCCCCTATGGATTAAGGACATAACCAGCCAGTAATCAAGGGACTACCTACGGCCTCAAACCAAACAAGACATATCTCATCAGAGTAAAGGGGCTAAACGGAAGCAAATTTAAAACTTTTATCCAATGAGTTATGCTTACATGGCATATCAAAACATTTCACATATACTTAATGATAACTCACACCACATATCAGTAATTAACATCTTGTATACCCAGGATCATTCAAACACATAGTCAGCTAAACCAAAAGTTATATACATACACGGTCTATCACGACCAATAGAAGTAGCAAAAGAAATACAAAATATCATAAACAAAGCCTCTTGCGTGAGGCACTTGGGCTGACTTCAGAAAACTCAGTTCCTTTCTTAAATTCCACTAAGGTTGGGGTTGAACGTCCCTTTGCTCACCTACATACATATAAATGAGAGTGAGCTAACGCCCAGTGAATAATATCAAAATAAAGAGGTTAATGAATGAGATTCGTTCATAAATGAATCATACTTATAATGTACATATTTGAACCACTATTCTCATTCACACTAGATTTACAAATCTCAACAAAGTAAAATGACCTTAGGTCCAACACATCATGTCCATATAGAAAACGACCTCAGGTCCGATTCTTATATAAAACAATACGACCTCAGGTCCATCTATGCGAAACGACCTTTGGTCCAACCAACTCTTTATTCAAAATGACCTTTGGTCCAATTCAAACATATCAAACAGCCTCGGGCCCAATTCAAACATATCAGGTGTATCAAATGGTCTCGGGCCCATTCTCTTTATATTCATATCCATGCATATTTCATATTCATGATCATGATTCCTTTCATTCAGACGGGCTTTGGCCCATCACAATATTCAAACATATCAAATGACATATTCAAACGGCCTTTGGCCCATCAAAACAATAGACACTGGGACCCCATGCAAACGAGCAATCTTATCGATGTAAATACACATCAAACGGCCTTGGGCCCAATTCAAACATATCAGGCGTATCAAATGGCCTCGGGCCCATTCTCTTTATATTCATATCCATGCGTATTTCATATTCATGATCATGATCCTTTTCATTCAAACGGCCTTTGGCCCAACACGGTATTCAAACATATCCAATGGCCTTTCGCCTAATCGTTCATATCCGATGGCCTTTGGCCCAATCGTTCATGTCCGACGGCCTTTGGCCCAATCATTCATATCCGACGGCCTTTGGCCCAATCATTCACGTCCAACGGCCTTTGGCATAATCGTTCACATCTAACGGCCTTTGGCCCAATCATTCACGTCCAACGGCCTTTGGCCCAATAGTTCATGTCTGATAGCCAATCGTTCATGTTTGACGACCTTTGGCCTAATCGTTCGTGTCAAACGGCCTTAGGCCCAATTCAGATATATCAAGCATATCAACGGCAAACGGAAAACAGCAAACGGCCTTAGGCCCAATTCAGATATATTAACGTATCAAACGGCCTTATACAAAATTAGGCATATAGAATACTCATTCATATTTCAAATCAACAAATCCATGAAGCTTATACAGAAGTAGCATTCGGAAAGTAACATACTTGAAAATATCTTTACTAAGATATTACTCACAGTGTTCTACCGGCGGATTTGCCCTCGAGGTCGACCCTATACATTGTGTAACACATATGGGTCACAAACGATCCAATCCGTTCTTAACTTATACATTCCTCTTAGGCCTCTTTATTATCTTCTTAATCCATTTACAATGTTCAATGCATGCCTAGGAGTGCTCAGAAATGGAAGAGAACGGAAAATGAAACACAAAACATCTTTACAAACTTTCTGAAATAGGGCTCCTCGCTCGAGCGTGGCTTTGACTGCTCGAGCGGACCCATTGGGTCTGCGAAAATACTGGTTGCCTCATTTTTACGCTTGAGCGTGACTTCGGACGCTCGAGCTGAGAGTCAAACTACATGGCTACCTGCTCGAGCGCGAATCTCACTGCTCGAGCGGACGTCCATGTCTGCAAAAGTTCTGGGAACTAGCATTTCACGCACGAGCGGCGCTTTCCCCGCTCGAGTAGACATGCCAAATTCTGGAATTCCCAGCAACCAGTTTGAGCTTCAAACTTGCATTCAAATTAACATAGCTTGCATTTTATAACCCATAACTCTCATATACAATTACTAACATGCTACAAACACCAATTTGCTACATTATGAAGCTCAAATCTTATGAATCAATCACATGCAAACCCAAATTATACCAAGCTTACTTCCAATACATTAAATTCATGCATTCAAACCTCATATCTTCATCAATCATGCATGCATGTCAATTCTTGACTCCATTTCTATTACAAATGGTACAAATGGTGCTTATAACCATGAAACTTAACAAAACCATGCTTGCATGTATGATTCAATGCCCAATCTTTCATAATTAACATGTTACATGCTAGCTTATGCAAATTCATGGCAATTCTAAACATGCATGCATTCATTGACTCCAAATTCATCAATTACAACTTAATTCTTGTTCTTGGTTACATATTCTCTTTGAATTCACAAAATTACAAACTTAACTTATGAATTTATGCTCAAATACTCACCTAGGAGCTTCAATCTTCATAATTTCTAGCTAGATCTTTGAGTTTAGCTTTCAATCCCCAAGCTTTGAGCCCCCATTCATAATTTGAGCCTCCATTCATAATTTGAGCCCCCCCTCTCTCTTTAGAGCTGTCTCTCTCTAGAGCTGTCTCTTTCTCTCTCTCTAGAGCACATTTCAGATTTTGAGTTCACAAAATGAGAGAATTAAGTGTATATTGGCCTATTTATAAGCTTGTTTAATCACATCGATTAAGTTTAAGTAATGACACTCTAATTAACCATTTTGAATCTAATTATTTTGATCCGAATCAATTTTTAATTAAATTTCACTGTAGGCTTTAAAAATTACGCCAATCACAATGGCGTAGTCAATTTTAGCTTCGGTGGCTGATAAGGCCTTCAATTTTCAGTTCAAAGCACAGATTCTAACAGATTTTTCTACGGTGAATAGACACAAAGCCAAAATCACATATAATCATGCAATTAACACCCAAATTCAAATTAAGCACATAATTACAAACGTAATCATGATTAATTAACATAGTACAGGACACGGTTATCACATTGGTGTAACAAAAACATCTAAAAATTTTAAAAACCACAAATGCCATAACCAACTCACAAAATTTAATAACATCAACTACAAAATGCGTAACTGCACCACTAATTGCTATAATAAAAATAATCAAAATTTTTACAAATCACAAATGTCATAACCAACCCAAAAAATTTCATAACATCAATCACAAAATGCGTAACAACACAACTAATTGATGTAGTAAAAATATTCAAATTTTTCAATTTTTTTTATAAACCACAAATATTGTAATCAAGTAACAAAGTTTCATAACAATTATCATAAAATGACTAAACAAATCACTAAAAATCTTAGAATCACCAATCGGGATCTCTCATAATACAGAGAAAACAAAATGTAATAACAATCATTAAATAATTTAATCAACGACTTAAAGCCATGGAACAAAAAATGAGAGTTAGAGAAGATTAGCTAGTAGAGCAAGGGGAAAGGGAATATGAGAAAAAGAGACTGAACGGGCTTATCGCCTGTGAAAATGACGTTAAAGGTGCTATCGTTTCCGATAAGGAACATCGGAGATATTTACAATGACAGTAAAGAATTAGAGAGATGCTTGAGGGATGAAGAAGACCGAGATAGCAGAACAGTACAACAAAATGCGTAATATTTATTTTTTAACAGTTCTATAACACATGTACAAATTGATGATAACAAAACCTTTCAAATCATAACTACGGCCCAAGGTTTGTGTATGTATAACATATTAATGTGAAAGAGCTAGAGTTTCGAGATAGATGCATTTACTAGATAGAGAAATATCACTAGAATGAATAGTGTTGAAATAGACAAAGAGAGTAGTGATGAGTTCAAGGATCTATTGCAGAGATACAGCAGTAGAGAGAGGAAGAATCCAGTGAGGAAGAACTATCAACAATGGTCGTTCGATAATTTGAGTGAAGTAGAGAAGTCTGAGTAAGAAATAGAGAAAACTCAAGCACAACTAGGACAAATGAAGGGAAAGAAAATAGAGTAGAGAAAAAAACGAAGAAAAGTTGGGGGAAAAAATTAGGAGAAAATTTATTTAGTAGAACAAAATAAAATTACGTCATAGATAATTTTTTTCAACATATTTTTTTATTAAAATTTAATTAAATTATATATATAGATATTTTAAAAAGAATATCGTTTTGTATATTATTATTTCTATTATATTTAATGAAGATATTGTGACTAAAATAAGTCTAAAATAGAGATAGGTGATCAATTGCAATTGTCACTTAGGGATGACACTTCAAAATTAATTGAGAGAGTTGAGAGTTCAAAGATAATGAGAGTTTGAGAGACAGATTTGTTTGTGAGAAATAAAATGAGAGAGGGGTAGTATTTATAGGACTTGGGAGGGAGGGGTTAATTTATATATATAAAAATAAAAAAAATAAAAATGGTTGTTGGTGGAATTAATGGTTATATGATTGTTTTAAATTTTTTTTTTTTTAAATTTTTGACTGTTGCACTAATAGGGGGATAGGGAGCCGTTGGGGTTGGGTCGGGCCAGATGGTGAAAAAAAATTCGGGTCGAGCTCACGAGATAGGTCACACTCCATAACACAACAGAGTCGGGCCGGGCTCTAGAACACATAGCCTAGGTTGGGCTTAGGCTCAGGCCTGGTTTGGCCCATTCAGGGCGTGACTGGACTTGTCATGCCCCAATTTTTAATCACTCGGAAACATTAGCAAAAGTCTGTAATTTAGGTCTATTTTTTTTATTTACAAATATCTATTACCCTTGAGTAATAGAAACATAATAGTACATGTTCTCTCTCATGATGAATACAACAATAATAATAATACATGCCAAGCTCCGACTAAGGAGTTACAAATAAATAATTACAAACATCAATGTACAAAACTCATTCTTGCACATCTACTATGAAATTACAAATAACAGACATGTGAACTTCTTAATCCTCCACCCAATCAATTCGAATTCTCTTCCTGTAAGAAAATGAAACGACAAGGGGTGAGCACAATTGCCCAGTAGGAATCGCATAGTTCAAAATCAATAACCATCCTATAGATAGAAATGCTCATGAATGCAGGGTGATACCATGTAGTAAATTGATGTTTTTGTAATTTCAAAATATCATACGTAGAGTACCTTTTTCTCAAAAGTCCTTTGAACATTTAAGGAAAACCTTCAGCCATAAAAATTATCCCTTATTGTCAGAAAGCCATAAATCTTTATTTATTTATTTTTTTGAAAACTAACATGCTTAAGGAATAACATCATTTTAAATTTATTAACCAATTCCAAAATATTCCTCACTTAATTTCCATCTTAACATTCCTCTTTTTTTTTATTTCCATTTTTCTTTTTTACTAATTACATTAATTATAACACCATAACCTCAAGTTCAAGTTTCCTTAATACTCGAAACAGCCCTTACACACTCCATTCCCACAAATCTATTCATATTTTTTGTAACTCCTCAACGTAGAAATCCAAATATCCTTTATATTCAATAACAATTACATCACATCTACATGTGCATTATCAATTATAATCGAACATATTACAACTACATCACATCTACATTTGCATTATCAATTAGAGTTCAAACATAACACAAGAATAACAAACCCTTTTTAACACAATGTCTCAATTATTTACAAAACAAAACTCATAATTTTCCCTTATAGTCACAAGTAATCCAGTGAGTCCATCATCACCAACCTCTAATCCAATTACCATCTCATTTTCCATTCTTTCAAATAATGTCATATTAAACATTGGATCCATTAACAAGTCATCTCCATGAGTGACACGCTTTACCGGTCATAAACCGGAAGGAAGGCGGAACCTCACATTTTACCAGTCACAAGCCGGAAGGAACGCGGAACCTCACGCTTTACCGGTCACAAGTCGGAAGGAACGCAGAACCTTTACATATCCCAACATACCACCCGTTTTACTGGGCGCTACTCCGGAAGGAAGGCGGAACCTTTTTCATGCGCCACGCTTTGCCGGCTCAAAATACGGCGGGAAACGGATCCCGAAACAACATTACATTCCATAAATTTTATCAAATCATTCGTTAATGTGATTAGTGGGCAAAGCCAACACATCATCCATTATTCCCGTAACACGTTAGGTCAAAATGCATCCACCATAAGTTAAAATTCCATTTACATAACGAGTACAAATTATGTTCCACCATCTTTTTCTATTACCCACCAAGTCATTCACGTGAAAATTCCATTTACATAACGAGTACAAATTATGTTCCACCATCTTTTTCTATTACCCACCAAGTCATTCACGTGTTCATTATTCTTGGGTTCAAACTATTTCTTTACTGTTCCATATTATTATCAAGTCTTCCAAATCAATTTTCACAACACATCAATTATCAATTACTGTGTGAGGCTATAAATTAAATCTTTAGCATTAATTTCTTTGATACAACTCTTTCACGTAACATCGTCATATTTCATAATCTCCCATTTATTGTTACTCACACTCAACTTAACCCAACCTTGACTTAACACAATTTAACATAACTCAATACAATTCAACATAATACAATAAGATTCTTAAATATTCATTTCATCATTTTATCACAATTTTCACATCATCCTTACCATTAGTAATTTTTTTCCCCCAAGTTTGGTTTCATATTATAACATAATTTAAAATATCAACATTGAGGGTTCAATCGCAACTTTTACATAAATTTGTAAACTCTTTAAAATTTCAATTAAATTTGTACATGTGTAATTTAACACCTCAATTTCATGATTTTACTATCAATTGAAGAAAAACCATTAACCATCTTCATGAGCCAAACTACGATTTTTAAGAGAAGTTAAAGCTTTTCACAAAAACACATTTTATTCCAACCCCTCTATTACTTTGACACCCAAACTCATGACCCAAACCATAACCAACAAGTAAACCCCAACTCTTCAAATCCTAACCCCCAATCTCATGATTAATCACAATATGTATAAAAATATAAAATTTTGTATTTTTTATAAAGAAAATATCACAAATCTATTTATATATGAGAGTATTGAAAGAGAATTAGAAACCTTTACCTCTTGAAGCCAAGAGATGACGACCCAAAAATCAATGGCGACAAAATCATGAACTATTTAGATCAAAATGAAGCCCTTGACGAGAACTACAATCTTTCTCAAAGGACCAAGATGAAAAGATCAGTCTAGTTGAGTAGATCTAAAGATCTAAAAAGTTTGAGTTTTAGAGAGAGAGAGAGAGAGGAGAACTCACGGTTTGAGAGAGAGGAAAGAGAAAAAATAATAAGAGAGAAGTGGTTAGGGTTTATTTATAGTAGTAGAAAAGTAACCCTAAGGTCAATAAAATAATAGGCCCAAAACCCCACAAAGGTAGGGCCCATTTGGACCCACAAATCTGAAAATAAACACGCAAGGGTCGACCCTTGGTGTGGTGGTGTCGACCCTTCAGCAAGAAAAGACAATGTTGGCAGCAAGCAAGGTGTCGACCCTTGGACAGGAAGGGTCGACCCTAATTTCCAGTAACTAATACCCAGATTCTGTAATATACAAGGGTCGACCCTTCCCAGATTGGTGTTGACCCTTGTAAATAGCAACAAGAGGTAGGTGTCGACACCACCAAGGCTAGTGTCTACCATAAATTCCAGCAACACTTCCAGAAACTTCACCAACAGGTAAGGGTCGACCCTTAGGAAGGTTGGTGTCGACCCCAGACTAGAATTTCTAAGTTCCTAAGGAACTTTTTGCCAAGAACAAGCGCAAACAAACAAACCCAACGAGTGTAAATCGGATCATACTCCTCCAAAACCAACATTCGACAACTCCAAAGACTCCCAAAAATGAAAATAAGGGAATTAAATACACTCTCCAATAGATTAAATGATGAGGGTGTTACAGGACTTGGGGAGTGCCGCGAGCTCTTGGGCCAAATTTACACCCCTATATGTAGGTAGTGGTTATGAGATATGTGATTAGTGATTATGATATATGTGATGTTTGTTATGAGGCAAATGGTGTTGGTTATGAGATGTGGTTATGACATAAGTGGGTAAAGGTTATGAGATATATGATTAGTGATTATTGGATATGTGATTTTGGTTGAGTAGAGTGGTATAGTTATAAGTTAAAGGGTGTTTAGTTATGAGATATGTGATTAGTAGTTTTGAGATATGTAATGTTGTTTATAATCAAAGTGGTGTGGTTATGAGATATGTGATTAGTAGTTATGATATATGTGATGTTGGTTATGAGATATGTGAGTAATGGTTATGAGATATTTGATTAGTGATTATAAGATATGTGATTTTGGTTATGAGCAAAGTGGTGTCAAAGGGTGTTTGGTTATGCTATATGTGTTAGTGGTTATGAGATATGAGATATTGGTTATGATCAAAGTGATGTGATTATGAGCAAAAGGGTTGTTAGTTATGAGATATGTGATATTAGTTATGACTCAAAGGGATTGGTTATGAGATGTGATTATGATTCATGTGAGTAATAGTTATGAGATATGTGATCAATAGTTAAGAGATATGTGATATTGGTTATGATCAAAATGGGGTAGTTATGAGCAAAAAGGTGTTAGTTATGATATATGTGACTAGTGGTTATGAGATATGTGATGTTGGTTATGACTCAAAGGGGTTGGTTATGAGATGTGGTTATAAGATATGTGATTATGGTTATGAAATATGTGATATTAGTTATGAACAAAATGATATTTGTTATGAGATGTGGTTATGAAATATGTGATATTAGTTATGAACAAAATGGTGTTGGTTATGAGATGTGGTTATGACTAAGTTATGATCAATTTGATTATAGTTATGAAGAAATATGATTTTGACTCATAACTATAAAAAGTGACCTGTTTAGCAGGTCCCTTTTAATGATGTGGCTCAACCTTAGCCATTGATTTTGCTATGTACTGCACATTTTTTAACAAAATGTACTATAGACTTTTCCTATATTTGGGTGCTAAATCAAGACAGAACAACAAACCAGGTAAAGGGTATAAAATCATAAGAGCATCTCCAATGGAGCTGTTAAAGGAGCTACTAAAGCTATAATTTGGCAAGAGTGATAAAAAAAAGGTTCTCCAATGTCCTGCTATTCTTTTTGCTAAAGATAGCAGATGCCATTTTTGTTCTCAAATTTGATAGATTAAATAGTAGGTGCCAAACATGCCACATTGACAAATATCAACAGATTTTTGGCATTAAATTCACTTGAAAAACCAGAATTCAAACAGTAGAAAACCTCCCAAATTTCAGAATCAAACCCAAATTTCAAAGGAGTTGCCAAATTCACAAATTTTAGAATTTCAGAATCACACAAATGATGAATCAATTTCAAAATCACAAAACAAATCACACAAATTTCAATTTCAGAATCACACAAACAGATCACACTTCAAATTTCAGAATCAATACCTGGATCGACCTCTAGGGCTTTTTCTTCAGCTGACTGGTTTAAGGACAGAGAGAGAAAGAAGACAGGTTTTGGAGATCGGTGATCAGTTTGAGGACAGAGAGAGAAGACACCATCTTAGTCGACTGGTTTGAGGATAGAGAGAGAGAGAGAGAGAGAGTATACTTGGTTTGGAGATCGGAGAAAATTGTTTGGTGATCGATGATCAGTTTGAGAACAGAGAGAGAGTATACTAGTTTTGGAGATCGGAGAAAATTGTTCGGTGATCTGTTTGAAAACAGAGAGAGTATATTGGTTTTAGAGATTGGAGAAAATTGTTTGGTGATTGGTTTGAAGACAGAGATAGAGTGATAGAGAGAGAGAGAGAATATACTAGTTTTGGAGATCGGAGAAAATTGTTCGGTGATTGGTTTGAGGACACAGAGAGAGATGCTCTTGAGCTCAAAGACAAAGACAAAGAGAGCAAGATGAGAGGATGGAGGCGCAGTGATGAAGAGAGATGATAGGATAAAGACGCAAATGCTCTCATC